AAATCCTAATTTAGGGTGAGAGGGTTATTTGTTATTCTTGTAAACTTGTAATCTTGTTTCCTAAGAGAAAGTAAAGAATAGCAGTTATAACCAATTCTTGTGTTCTTCTTCCTCCTTGTTTGATATTCCTCCCTTATTCTATACTTTGTTATTGGCATTGAATTCACAACAAATTGGTGCGGTGAGCGTGGAGAAGATGCCTTCAACAAAGTATGAGATCGAAAAGTTCACCGGAGTGAATGATTTCGGTCTATGGCGCTTGAAGATGAAAGCTCTACTGGTTCAGCAGGGTTGTTTGGAAGCGTTGAAGGGAGCGACGGCGATGGACGCTGCGTTAACAGAAAGAGAGAAGACGGCCATGATCGAGAAAGCACACAGCGCAATTTTGTTGAGCCTTGGTGATAAGGTTCTTCGACAGGTATCAAAGGAGACGACGGCATCAGGGTTATGGGTGAAACTTGAAAGTTTGTATATGACCAAATCTCTGGTAAATCGACTCTACATGAAGCAAGCTTTGTATTCATTCAAGATGATCGAAGACAAAGTGTTGGCTGAGCAGTTGGATATGTTCAACAAGCTGATTCTTGATCTTGAAAATATTGATGTAAAGATTGATGATGAAGATCAAGCGTTGTTATTGTTGTGCGCTTTGCCCAGATCACATGCTCACTTCAAAGAAACCCTCTTGTATGGAAGAGAGTCCCTGACCTTTGAAGAAGTTCAATCAGCCTTGTACTCTAAGGACTTGAACGAACGTAAGGAGCATAAACCTTCGACGGTTGGTGAAGGTTTGGCTGTTAAAGGAAAATTCGACAAGAAGAAAGGTAAAAATCAGTCGAAGTCTTATAGTGGTGACACATCTGGTATTAGATGCTATCACTGTAAGAAAATAGGTCACACAAGAAAGGTGTGCCCTGAACGCCTGAAAGATCATGGAGGTAAGGATAATGGCAATGCAGCTATTGTCCAAGATGATTTCGAATCATCTGATGTTCTTGTGGTTTCAAGCAACAACTCGTCGAAGGAGTGGATTATGGATTCTGGATGCACTTGGCACATGACTCCAAACAAAGACTTGTTCGAGGAATTATGTGATCAAGATGGTGGATCGGTATTGCTGGGAAACAACAAAGCTTGCAAGATTGCAGGCGTTGGATCTGTGAGATTCAAGCTCCATGATGAGTCAATAAGACTGTTGACTGAAGTCAGGTATGTACCTGATTTGAAGAGAAATTTGATTTCTCTTGGTGAATTCGACAAGAAAGGATATGTTTTTCAAGGAGAGAAAAGTATCCTGAGAGTCATGAAAGGGTCGAAGGAAGTCTTGAGAGGCGTGAAGAAACAAGGCTTGTATACCCTTGAGGCTGAAGTTGTAAGTGGTTCGACAAATGTTGCATCCACGAAACCTTTGTCGAAGACAGAAATTTGGCACATGAGATTGGGCCATGTCAGTGAAAGGGGTCTGGTCGAATTAGGGAAACAAAATCTGCTTGGTGGAGATAAAGTCGAAAAGCTGAAGTTTTGTGAACCCTGTGTACTTGGAAAGTCCTGTAGAATGAAGTTCAACAAAGGCAAACAAAGAACACATGGATCCCTTGATTACATCCATGCTGATCTTTGGGGGCCTGCAAGGTGTCCATCACATTCAGGAGCAAAGTATTTTCTATCCATAGTAGATGACTATTCCAGAAAGTTATGGGTATTCATCCAGAAGACTAAGGATGAAACTTTTGAGAATTTCAAAAGTTGGAAGACTCTTGTCGAAAATCAAACTGGCAGAAAGGTAAAGAGGTTGAGAACCGACAATGGCCTTGAGTTTTGCAATGAGGCGTTCGACAGTTTTTGTGTTGCCTCTGGTATTGCAAGGCACAGAACTACCGCAGGTACTCCTCAACAAAATGGTTTGGCTGAAAGGTTTAATCGAACTATTTTGGAGAGAGTTAGATGCATGTTGACTAGTGCGGGATTAAAGAAGGTGTTTTGGGCTGAGGCTGTTTCGACAGCAGCATATCTGATAAACAGATGTCCTTCGACAGTGTTAGATATGAAGACACCTGAAGAAGTTTGGTCGGGACATCCACCAGATCTCGACAAACTAAGAGTATTTGGCTGTGTAGCCTATGCTCACATTAGGCAAGACAAGGTCGAACCTAGAGCTCTGAAATGCATGTTTATGGGATACCCTGAAGGAGTGAAAGCTTATAGGCTATGGTGCCTAGAGCCAGGTCACAGGAGGTGTATCACCATTCGAGATGTAGTTTTCAATGAAACTGAAATGGTTTTCAAGAAAACTGATGATGTTGACGAAGAGCTGGAACAGGTAGAGATTCCTGTTGAGGTGGAGCATGTTGATGCTGAAATGCGTATCCCAGATGAAGTCGAAGAAGAAACAGAAGATTCTGATGATGTTGAGGAAACTGTTGATGACTACCTATTGTCGAGAGATAGGCAAAGAAGAGTCATAAAACCACCTCAGAGACTTGGATATGCAGATCTTGTAGCTTATGCCTTAATCTCTGCAAGTGAAGTTCTAGACGAAGAACCTAGAGATTATAAGGAAGCTATAAGGAGTCGAATGAAGACTGAATGGCTAAAGGCCATGCATGATGAGATGAAATCTCTTCATGATAATCACACTTGGGAACTAATCGAGAAACCTGTTGGGGCAAGGTTAGTCAGCTGTAAGTGGATTTTCAAAGTTAAGGAAGGAATTGAAGGAGTAATGTCGAAGAGGTACAAGGCAAGATTAGTCGCAAGGGGTTTCACTCAGAAAGAAGGTGTCGACTTCAATGATGTATTTTCCCCTGTTGTGAAGCACAGATCCATCCGAATGTTGCTTGCCATGGTGGCTCAGTTCGACCTTGAACTGGAACAAATGGATGTGAAGACTGCGTTCTTGTATGGTGACTTAGATGAAACAATCCTGATGAGGCAACCTGAAGGGTATGTCGAAAAGGGGAAAGAAGATTATGTGTGCAAACTGAAGAAATCTTTATATGGACTTAAACAATCTCCTCGACAGTGGAATAAGAGATTCGACAAGTTCATGGAACACATAGGTTTCATTAGAAGTCAGTTCGACCATTGTGTTTACTCCAGATTTCGACCTGAAAATTCATTTGTTATTTTGTTGCTTTATGTTGATGATATTCTGATAGCAAGCAACAATGTCGAAGATGTAATGAGGGTGAAGGCTGAACTCAATAAGGAGTTCGACATGAAGGATCTGGGAGCTGCATCTAGGATTCTTGGAATTGACATTCGAAGAGATAGAAAGCAGTCGAAATTATGCTTATCTCAAGAGGCATACCTACGAAAGATTCTTGACAAGTTTGGTATGTCGAACTCGAAGCCTGTTGTGACTCCAACAAACCCTCAATTCAAGCTGAGTATTGATCAATGTCCCAGTACTGATGTCGAAAGAACCTATATGAATAGCATCCCATATGCTAATATAGTTGGTTCTTTGATGTATGATATGGTCTGTACTAGACCCGATATAGCATATGCAGTAAGTCTTGTAAGCAGGTACATGGCGAATCCTGGAAAGGCTCAATGGCAAGCGTTAAAGTGGATTTTAAGGTACATAAATGGGTCTCTGAACAGAGTCTTAATTTATGGTGGAGCCTTGGGTGAAGATAGTAAAGCAGCAGTCGAAGGCTATGTTGACTCCGATTATGCAGGTTGTATGGATTCCAGAAAATCTATTTCTGGATATGTTTTCACTATGTTTGGTACAGCAATTAGTTGGAAAGCAACTCTTCAGAAGGTTGTTGCCTTATCAACTACTGAAGCAGAATATATTGCCCTAACTGAAGCTGTGAAAGAAGCATTGTGGCTTGAAGGTTTTGCAAAGGAGCTGAAACTTCAAGGTCAAGGTATCACTGTTAAATGTGATAGTCAAAGTGCAATACACCTGTCGAAGAACTCAGCCTATCATGAGCGAACCAAGCACATAGATGTGAGGCTGCATTTCGTCAGAGGGGTAATCGAGCGTGGAGAAGTCCAAGTGCTGAAGGTCTCAACAGATCACAATGCCGCTGATATGATCACCAAAACATTGCCAAGTTGCAAGTTTTTCCACTGTATGCAGTTGATAAAGCTGCATGAAGAAAGCTAGTTAGTGTCTCTTGATGCTGTAGAGTTAGGTCCAAGGTGGAGATTTGTGGGATTTTTGGATCGAACTCTAGTATGATCGAAGTACATGCTGTAGTCGAAGAAAGGGTCTAGCATGTATTTGTCGAAGATGCTTGTTAAATTAGGTTTTAGTGTTTAAACCCTAATTTGTTAAGTTAGCTTGTTTCTTAAGTTAGCTTGTATAATGGGCCTTGTGAAAAAAGCCCATTAGTTAGTATGTTAGGTTTTATTATAAATAGCATACTAGTCTCTCATCATTGCAACACAGCAAATCCTAATTTAGGGTGAGAGGGTTATTTGTTATTCTTGTAAACTTGTAATCTTGTTTCCTAAGAGAAAGTAAAGAATAGCAGTTATAACCAATTCTTGTGTTCTTCTTCCTCCTTGTTTGATATTCCTCCCTTATTCTATACTTTGTTATTGGCATTGAATTCACAACAGGCTGAGATTTCTTTTAATAATTTTGTTGGGGTGCCTAATATAATATATTATTGACATACAATTAAAAAATCTTCAAACAGTAGTTGGTTTTGTTTTGTTACAGTAGTTGGTTTTGTTTTGTTTGTTTCTTGGTTGCGTATGCCTTCATCCATTATGATTATGATTTTCATCATATGATTTTGGTGTTGGTCTACAACACAAAAACGTCATATGATTTTGGCGTAAAGAAACTTCAATCATATTGTAATGGAGCCCATAAAGAAAGTAGGTTGGGCAATTTCCAAATATAAATGAAACTGATTTAGTTTTAAGCAGCAATTTTATTTTATTTTTCTCCATCGTTAAATATAAAACTCCTAAAATAAAATTTACAACTTAAAATTCGAAAGAGAATAGGAACAATAGCGATGGAATCTGATGATTCACATAATAAGATCCACAAAGTATGTCGTGTTGGATCCTTTACCCGCCTTTGAAGAACAGCCCGGCACATTTTGAAACTGATTCGCCGGTAATTTCTTGGACAAAGCTCCGACGAAGAATTCAAGCATGCCGGAACGTGAATCAACTTCCATGCCGGTGACAGGGAGCCAGATGAAAAGCATCTTGGCCTGGATCCCCGACACGCCGGAAACGGAACCGTGAGTGAGGGTTCCGGTGATGAGGGTGTTGTAGTAGACTAATTGATCGGAGAAGTGAACGTAACAGGGGGATTCGAGATGAACGGTGAAGGAGCCAGATGGGGAGATGGTGTAGGAGGCGATGTTGTTGGGAAGGATGCCCTTTGGGAAACCGTAATCAGGGAGAAGGTCGTGGATGTCTGTGGGAGTGGACATGACTATAGCTGTTGCTTGGAATATGAATATGAATGATGAGAAGAAACGTAGGATGATGTTGAAGGTGTTTTTTGTGGACATTGTCTTGGAGGATGAGTTGACCCTCTTGATGATAATGGGTAGTTGGTACTATGAATTTGGGGTTTATAGAGACAGGGGTAGAAAGGGAATTCTCCTTTCACACAAAAACTATTATTTATTTATTTTGCATTGAAAGTAGTTTTGGCTAAAGATAGGATGATGATGATTTATTAAGAAGAAAACCAAAAAAGGATGATGACGATGATTGTATGCGGTCGCGATTTCACACATTCACGCATTTGAACAATGAAAATCGTTAGATCATTATCATGCAGTTCAAATTAAAAGTTAATTTCTTATATTATAAAATATAAAATAAAACATAATAAAGGTAACAGCAATTATCTAAAGATATACTATTATTTTGACATGAAACATGAAATTGATGATAGACTAATAAAGGTAACAGCTCTATGATACGGTGGTGAATGCGTCGTGTGGATATAAAAGACATGTATTTATAAGGTGGTGTTTGTTTCAAGTTTAGGAATTAAATTTTCAGGAATAATGGTTAAAAAATGGTTATACTCATGTTTGTTAAGAATTTGAAGAAAATTTATTCCTAAATATAAAGGTTCTAGGAATGAATTAACTTCCAATAATTAACTTCCAATAATTTCTATAATTACAATGATTTTATTCTCATGTAAGAAGGTAGAAATGTAAATTTTTATGAAATTTCACATGATTTTTTTATTAAAAAATATAACTATTAATTTTTCTAGAAATATCAAATAATATGTTAAACACATTTTCTTAAAAATATCCAAGAATCAAACTTTCCTATTTTTATTCCTGAACAACTTATTCCTAAAAATCACTTTTGAATCCTTCAATCAAACGCTCCCTAAAGTTAACATTCTAACATTCAATTCAGTGATGTTAGAAAGTTGTAACCTACTATAATGAATGAATCATTCATTACTGAGTCATGCGATTGAATTTATATATTAGAATTGTTTAAAATTTATCTTAGCAAATACTCGGGCATACAAGTGTAGTTAGGAAGAAGAGACGCTCAAGTGTTTCATATACTCTTCCTCAAATTCATTGAGGGGCAACTTGAACTTCAGCCGACTAAAGAGACACTCATAGAAAAGGATAGAGCGTCCATCAAATTAATTGCAAACCTTCTTGCCAACGTCAACATGTGAGACTGGCCAATTGGAAGAAGGGCTCGTCTATTTGAGCCTCTTCCACCTTCTTGGCGCCATCAAAGAAATAAATTGTCTCCATTAACTCAGGATCCACCTAGCGGTACATCACAACATCTAATGTATGTTTTAAATATGCACCCCTGTTTAACCATTTCTTCCATGTTGTCATGTAACAGGTAACGCTGGTCAGAAACTGCATTATTGCTCCTAAAAACAAGATGATCTCTAAGTTTTATGTCGTTAGGGTCCCGACCATGCACCACCTTAAAAGTATTGATAATGAAGAGAGTATGTTGTTCATCTCTAGCCATTGATGGAGGAGACAAAACGAGCAACCACTTTCTTAAATCCATATTACTTGTGTTTCTAGCCATACTCTTAATATATATATATATATATATATATATATATATATATATATATATATATATATATATATATATATATATATATATATATATATATATATATATATATATATATATATATATATATATATATATATATATATATATATATATATATATATATATATAAACCATTTCCACTAAATAAGAAGCCCGGCCCTTTTTTAGCAATGCCTTCCCTTGAAATAGAAATAGAAACTAAAATGTATTCTCTTTCCTTCATCTATGAGTGATAGCTCTTCTTCTTCACTTTGTACACAATCTCTCTAAATAACTTTTATCTCAAGCTTTTAACATATACATCAAGAAGCAATACTAAAAAATATACATTTCATAATACTTTCTTACAACAATAATTTATTTCACCGAAGTAATATCTATTCATCAGACTCTTGTTTATTTATTTTTAAATCACTTTTTTCACGGTCCAAATTAACAACCATGATAAAATATGAAGAAGTGGCACACTTGGACTACTTGCACCAACAATTTTATGTTTTTCGTTACCAAAAGGGTGTGATCCCTCAATTTCTATTTTCTAATAAAAATTAAACTACTTTTAACCACGGTCCATGTTAACAACTGTTGTGAAATGTCCCTAACAACCGAGGTGAAATATTTTACCTATATCAGCTAACTTAATTCACTTAAGAACGAATTACGCTCCATAAGTGAAACCCTAACTTTCACACCTTATCCCATTCTCACAAAACTCCTACATATATTTACAAAACTCCAACATAACTTCTTCGTCTTCTATGAATCAAGGAAAGATGTCATGAATTTTTACAAGACATAAACACGAAACTCATTTTTTATCTTCCTCTTTACATTTCTGGCGTGTACGTGAAATATTTTCCACCATTCTTCAACTTGTCGTTGTTAAAATTAATTTTCTTTTAGAATTTGTTGTCTTTCTTGTTGTTGAGACACTAAACTATACATGATAAATGTTTTTTTTGTTGAGTTAATAAAAAGGTTTATAATTTTTGTTGTTGTTGTTGTTGTTGTTGTTGTTGATTTTGTTAGTTATGTTGTTGTTTTTGTTAATAAAAGTAAAAGGTTTTTGTTAATGTTGATGTTTTTGTTGAGTTATATATGTTATTTTTGTTTCGTTATATATGTCCTTGAGTTATATATGTTATTTTTGTTTCGTTATATATGTCCTTGAGGTGGTTATTTTAGTTATGTTGTTGTTTGTTGAGTTATATTGTTGTTTTTGTTGATAGAAGTAAAAAGTTTTTATTAATGTTGAATTTTTTGTTGATATATATATATATATATATATATATATATATATATATATATATATATTTGTTGAGATAAGTATAAAACTTATGATATTGTTGGAATTTTTTTTAGTTATGTTGTTGTTTTTGTTGATTATATTTTTGTTTTTATTGATACAAGTAAAGGCTTTTTTTAATCTTGGTGTCACTACTATTAAAAATCTATTTTATCTCGGTTGAAAATAAAAAATTTCCTCAATTTTATATGCGAAGTAACGAAGAACGTCATGAAAAGTTACAACTTTTTTCCTTGGTTATAGATCCATCGAAAGAAAAATTGTTCTGCAGATGCGTTTCACAAGTGCACGGAATATATTGTAGTAATAGAATATTATCGAACCCACAAAGATCAAATATCTACCAACTGTTATCTTTTGTCGCTATGTAAATCTAAGGCGATGATGGATCTTAATGGAAAGGAATTTTAAAAAAAAATTAAAACAAATTGGTTTAAAATATCTAATAAAAGTGAGACCAGAATGCGGTTCTCATCGATCAACAATACTCACGGCTAAACTAGAATAGTTAATTAAATTGAGATAATATTTTTTCAATTAAAAGAAACTAATTTAAATGAATCTTTCGCTTTCGCGCAACCGAAACCAAGTTTTATTCAAAAATCTATATTGTCGTTGTTGCGGTTCAGATTGTTAAAGTGTAAAACTAATGTTTTTGATAATCAATTAATTTTAATTAATTAAAAAATTATTTTGGGTGAAAAATAAATCTAAAGACATTGTCGACTTTCGTTCGCCTAACACCGAAATTTAAATTCATAAACGCATGTTGTCGCACCTGCATTTATGCTCTTAAACTCTATTTTTTAAAATCAATTCTGCTGTAGCACTTAACTTAATTAAAACAAATCTCAATTTTCACTTAAGTCAGATACATGTTCTTTTCTTTTGAAACAGAATCAATATCTATAAAATAACGCTTTTATAGTAAATATTTTAGTTAAAAGCAATGTAAAAATCAATCCCAAAAATAAATCCTAATTTAATTAATTAATTTTTAACTTAGATACAAATACGGTTAAAATGACGGTCCTTACATGTCGGATTCTAAATAACTTAGCCAAACAAATTCATTATTTAACAAATAACACAGATAAAATTTATATATAAGCCAAACATATTTAATATAATAGTATAATACTACAAAGCATGTACTACTTAGTAAATCAAACTAAAACAGTAAGGCTTATATTATTATAATAATGAAAACAAGTATATAAGGATACTAGATATACCAAAGAAACAATAACAAGAAAATAAAAAGTATACGTACTGTAAAGTGGAAACTGCAATAACTGGAATAGAAAAGCTGATGAATTAAATTCTGGAAAAAATATGTCGCTACGATTACACTTCGAATGATTCAAAAACATGCTACAAATCTTCAAGTTTTAAATCTAAGGTGCACTTATCATTCGATGCGATCGAATAAGTGTTTTTTTTTTTATAAGTGATTTTCTATCTAAATTAAATTTTAAAAACTTATCCCTTCAAACTAAAAAAATTAAAGCTTATTTATAGAGTTAAAGTCGGGTAGATAATGCTCTAAATTCGTGTAAGAGTTAGTGGAGAAAATTTAAGAAATGAGAGAAAATCATTCAATGTTCAATGTTATTTTTTTGGCTCAGAAATCCATGGCAAACGCCATGAGTGTTGTTGGCGATTTTGTATCACCAATGTATTTTAGTAGTAATGTGATTTCTAAAGGCCGATGCAATTATGCGTTAAGTTCGGAGACGAGTTAGGAAAGTGCGGAGTGCACGCTCGTCGAGCCAATGCATAATTGAATACGAATAATTGAAACGGGGTTCCAAGGGGCGAAGCCCCTGGCGGGGTGCGGGGCAGCGCCCCGCGGGGTCCAAGGGGCGGAAGCCATGAGTGTTGCGGTGCTGAATGTGGCTTGATTGGGAGACATGGCGAATGTCATCAACCTTTACTTATGATTCTTTGATTTTTCTTCTCATCTGGTGGCGCCTCATGGCTGCTACATCATGGCAAACGTCATAGGGAGTGCCATGATTGCATCTTCTTCATATTTCCTCCATTTTTTTTTCTTCCGTTTTCGTTATGTTTTCTCGAGTACTGACTCCTACATGTAAAGTACTTGAAATCAACACAAACTACCAACAT